TTTGAGTTCATAAAAAATGTAAACTATAAAGCGATAGCTTCAATTTCTAAAAAGTGAGGACTTAGCTTTGGTATGATGAGAACCGAGCTTTTGTAGGTTGAGAACTTAGCTTTTTGTAGCGTGTTCCCACAGACGGCGCCAATTGATGTAACCGTTTCTGGTCACGTACCATTTTTTGTGATGTATAAATTTTTTTTTGGCTAAGTACCTCGTTATTTGACCCGGTGGTGACGTGCCTTGGTGATGAGCTACTTGGTGGCGAACTCCCTGGTGGAGAACTGCCTAGTGGCGAGCTCCCTGGTGGAGAGCTACTTGGTGACGAATTGCTTGGTGGCGAACTCCCTGGTGGAGAACTACTTGGTGGCGAATTGTCTGGCGGCGAACTGCTTGGTGGCGAACTGCCTAGTGTCGAGCTCCCTGGTGGCGAACTGCCTAGTGGCGAGTTCCCTGGTGGCGAACTGCCTAGTGGACTCGTCATTTGACCTGCTCCTAGGCAGCCTACAACTCAGAGGATGGTGGAGCTCCCTGGTGCAGCGCAACTCGACTACCCTCTGCATGAGGTGCTTTCCTCTCCCTTGTAGGCGGCGGGGACTCTCTGATGCCTAAGTTAGCATTCTGATTACAGAGAGCTTGGAGAGAAATGAGAGAGCTAGAGAGCAGGGGTTACCCCGGGGGTATTTTCCCGGCGGGGACTCTCCGATGCCTAAGTTAGCATTCTGATTACAGAGAGCTTGGAGAGAAATGAGAGAACTAGAGAGCAGGGGTTACCATCCTTTTTTCCCTTCTCCCTTTGGCTTTGGGGGTCGGTGTCCTTATATAGTGGTGTCCTCATGGGTTAGGTGGGTAAAAAGCCTTCAAACGGTAAGACTCATCATATCCCGTAAGAACCGGGGTACGGTGGTGAACTCCTTGAGGCTGTCAGGCTGGCGCTTGTGTTAGGCGGCCAGGTCGGCGCCTAGGCCAGGTTGTCAGGTCGGCGCCTGTGTTAGTCGGCGGGTTGGTGTTTGGGCCAGGTTGTCAGGTCGGCGCCTATGTCAGTCGGCGGGTCGGTGTCTGGGCCAGGTTATCAGGTCGACGCCTGTGTTAGTCGGCGGGTCGGTGTCTGGGCCAGGTTGTCAGCCAAGAGATCTTCCTGCGATATGCCAAACTACTCTTCTGTACCGAGCTTCCCTACAAGTGGCGAGCTGCCCAGGGGAGCTATGCCGAGCTGCTTGTGGCGAGCTTTGCCGAGCTGCCTGGCTCCTTGGTGGCGAGCTCCTTGGAGAGCTGCCTTGCTCCTTGGCGATCTCTTTGGTGAGCTACCGAACTCCTTGGCGAGCTCCTTGGTGAGCTACCGAGCTCGCGGGGTAATGCCGTTTGGTTCCAGTGGGCGTCTTATGGGTTGCCAGGTCGGCCAGGTCGGATCATGTGTCGAGCTGATCCAGGTCGGCCAGGTCGGATCATGTGTCGGGTTGATCCAGGTCGGCCAGGTCGCGCAGGCCGCGCCAGGCAGCGCGCAAGCCACGTGCAGGCCATGCGCCAGGCTTGGTAAGTTGTTGCCTAGGTGTCGCCTAGTTGTCACGATGTGCCACGTGTTGCAATTTCACTGAAGGGCCAAATCTGCCCTCATCATATTTGTTTTCAGCATTATGTATCTTGTTGGTTAAAGGTTGTTATTTCTTAAAAAAAACTTGATGTCATAATGTTTAGGTGTAGGGAGCATTAGAGTTATTTTCTTTATGTATTGGAATGAATATTCATCATCTTGTCTAGAATTATTTAATTTAACTTGAACCAATATTACTACTTAAATCCTTCCCTTTTTTATAGTGTTCCAATTCAGATTTGGCAAGTTAAGTGAATATGCATGTTAGTTTTTTTTTTTTTCTTTGAATGCTAGAATACATGTGTAATGGAGATTTAGCTTATGTTAAACTTTAATTGAAGCTAGTTTCTATCTTGTTTATTGGATATTTTTTGTTTCCTTGTTTTTTTTTGTTTTAAATCCTAAATGTAAATTGTGTTTAGTGAGCCCTAAGTGAGGTGGCTCATAGGGGATTGATTCCCTTGTGTTTTGATTTCTCTCATTAACTTAGTAAGAATGAGGGGAACCTTGGATAAAGAATGGGGATGCATGTAGTTGCGTAATCCTTTGCTCCTTTAAGGTTTCTCTCACCCAAAAAGAGAATGAGAGGGTTAAATCACTTAGGAAACAAGCCACCATGACTATCCTCTTTGATGGGTAAGGTTGCTAGAAATCTAGTAGGTTTTGTTTCCTTTAATTCTTATTCTTTCTTTACTAAATTAGGGGAATGGTACTACACATTGAGTATGGGAGAGGGGTGCTTAACACCTTCCCTCTCAATTTGGATGTTCACAACCCTGACCTTAAACATTTGGATTAAGGTTGACCCACAAGTCAACTTGATTCAACCCTGTCATTATTGAAAAATTAAAAATTGAAACATGAAAAATGTTAACTAAACTATTAAATGAATTAACCTAAAATTCAAATTTCGAAAAGAAAGTTTGCATTCAATTGATCTTCAAGAAAGGAAAGATTGACTCTTCCCCCAACAAATTTACCAACAACTATAAAAAACTTGAAAATTCAAAATTTCAAAAAGTGAACAATAAAAGTAAAGATTAAAGACCAAACAGAAAAATAACATAAATAGATGATGAGATGTCCAAAAGACATGCAAATGTTCTAAACTTCCAATGTGAATTTAAAAAAAAAAATCAAAATGACTTTAACTTTAAACACATTCCATCATTTTTAAATTTATTCATCCACTACTGGAAAATTCATATATAGAGGCGGCCATTACTACCTCTAAAAGCTGAAAAAAATGCCTCTAAAGAAAATAGGAGATGGTCGGGTGAATGCCTCTAAATGCCCAGTCGCTAAATGTTTTAGAGGTTCTTGGTTGAGCTTTAGAGGTGGATTCACCTCTAAATTGGACTTTTAGAGGCACATACGACTGCCTCTATTTCACTAACGCTAAAAGTCCTGTATAGAGGCACTTGTAAGTTCAATTTAGAGACGTATTTGAACGCCTTTAAATGATTTTGCGGCAATTTTATGTGCCTCTAAAAGAAATCTAAGAAAAACAAATCTCAATTAGAGGCACATTTGGCTGTCTCTAAAGATATATGCTTTAATATTTAGAGGCACTTTTGGCCGCCTCTAAAAATGTTCCAATTTTTTTTAAAAAAAAAGTGCAATATACTGTGAATATTGTTACATAAAAATTCCAATCGATATACCTGTATGAAAATATATTCAATCAAAACATAAAACCTGTATGAAAATATATATGAAATTATACCAATTGGTACACCTGTTTGAAGAATTGAATTGAATAAATTATACTAATAATTCTTGAAAACAGGTTTTAGAATTAGCTGGAAACGCAACAAGGGATAATAAGAAGACAGGGATAGTGCCAAGGCATATTCAGTTGGCGGTCAGAAACAATGAAGAACTAAGCAAGTTGCTGGGTGCCATTACGATCGCAAATGGTGGTGTGATGCCCAACATTCACAACCTCTTGCTGCCGAAGAAGACAGGAACCGGTTCTTCGAAGGGTGTTGCTGCTGATTGGAGGTGTGTGTAAGCAAATTTGGTGTCTTCCTCAGTCTTATGCTTGAACCTTCAAATTGCTATAAGATTTGCAACATCAAATGACAGTGGTTATTTTCTATTTATCAAGTTTGTCCTCCTACTCAGATGCAGAGACTGCTTTTTTATCCAAGGAGGTGTGTATAACATACTCAAACCACAAGTTGTCAAAAAGCCAAATTTTACCACCACGATACACAAAAACAGTTGGTCCCATCTGAGTAGGAGGACAAACTTGATAAATAGAAAATAACCAATGTCATTTGATGTTGCAAATCTTATAGCAATTTGAAGGTTCAAGCATAAGACTGAGGAAGACACCAAATTTGCTCACCTCTTAATCGAGAAGCAACACTTCCATTTGGCATATAAGGATAGACGAGAAGCCTTTCATTCTGTGTCATACAGAACCCACAAAGTCGAAGGAGATTCCGATGGACAGCCAGGCTTATCATCTCAATTTCTGTCTAGAATTGGACTTCACCACCAGCTGTATTGTAGTCTTTCAATCTTTGGACTGCCACAAGAGTCTCATCTTGCAAGCAACCCTTGTAAACAATTCCAGAGCCACCCCTTCCTAGAATGTTCTTTGAGTTAAAATGGTCAGTTGCTGATCGGAGTTTCTTAAACAAGTACCTCTTCAAGTGGCCCAAACAAACCTCTGGATCATATTGGTCTGCCATGAAACATTTTAGCTGAGAAATGCAGGCACAATGTGCACAGATATACACAGAGAAAAGTAAGTTCTTAAGATAAATAAAGTCTTATCAGCATGGTTAAAGAGTTGGTCATTGAACAAATAAATAATTAAATCTTATATGAGAAGACATCAAATAGGTACAGGACAAGATCTCCTGGATCAAAATCAGCATCCTGTCCATCGCGCTCATTTAACAAACCTAAAAAACCACAACAAAGGTTTTGGAATTGCCCCATGATATGTTGCTTTCTGGCCTACAAGATGTTTATGCGAAATCTACAATTTTATATATCTGTCAAAAAAAATCTGTGTTGGTACTTCCAATGTACAACTCCTGTATTGTCATGTGGCACATCAAGGATCAGCTTCCTTAATGGACTCCACACCACTTTCTTAATGACTTTATCTTTTAATTGGTCAACCACCTAATGGTGCAAATATAGCTCAAACCAATCAGAAGATCCCCAATTTCCAAATTTATGGTCCAAACTGTAGTTTAAAAAACTCAGCCAATGATTAAAACAAGGGTTCATAGATCAGTCAAAGCATGTCCAAGGATATGACCCTATCAGCAATGTACTCACCAACTGAAGTACTAGAATCTACTAAGAAAGATTAACTAGCTTCAATACCTTCTAACTATCGTATCTACATGCACTGGTACAAGAAATCGTCCTGGAAATAGTACCTTGAATAGGAAGAGGTACTAACCATTAACATCAAAGAAAATTTGCTGGTTGTCTGTGCCGCCACCAGAGAAGCAACCCAACAGCAATGATGATAAGAGAAACTGACCCAGTGCTTGCCCCAAATGCAATAGCCACATGGTGGCTTTTTGCTCCTCTAGATTCTGATTGAGCTGGAAAACCCAACATGCCTATAGCTTAGATATTCATCCTATTCAAGTGATCAAAGTAATCTTTAAAACTAGTTGATTGGGTACATATATACCTCTTGGAGCATTTGGTGGAAATGAAAGTGGCTCTGGTGACACAGCAGAACAGTTGTTTTTAGCATTTGGTCCACAAATTAAAGGGTTCCCAATAATTCTAAAGAAGGATATAAATAGATAACGTTAAACCAGTGAATTTACAGTCAGAGTTCACTCAAATATACATCCAAATCCGATTTATTTGAATTTAATTGTTCTTTCTCAAAATAATTAAATTCATACATTACAAATCAATATTCATAAATCTTAAACATTATAAATACAATGAAGTGTAAAGGAATTAAATTACATTATACACACTATACTTACAAGAATGTCATCAACTTCATCTAAATCAATTATAATGCTATCGACTTGTCTCATAGAATAATCTCAAATTCTTTCCAACCATTACAATATGTTTATTGTTTTTTAAGGCATTTGAGGAGCCCTCCACAATATTACAATTATCATCACTATTAATCATGTGCACGAAAGACATGATTTACTCTCAAGAACTAAAACATAAATAAAACAAAGATAATAGGTTAGTAAATAATGACATTTTTATTTTTATAAGTTTTATTTTTTGAGTGGATTAAACGTCCTTATTAGCCATTGTTCTTATACAAGCCCAACTTTGCCTTTTGTCCATTAGCTTAAAAAGATAACAAAAACTTGATGGATCAATAAAAGTTAAAAAGAAGATTAGGAAAAAATCGATTTAAAAAGAAAATGTACAAGTTATATTTAAAAATGATTAGGAAAAAATCAAAATTAAAAAGAAAACATGCAAGTCATATTTTCATTCTTTAAACCTTATTATGGAGAAAAATGAAAAGAGTATATATATATATATTTTTTATGAAAATTTATGTTCATGCGTCGTTAAGAACACATATAGCAACTCAGTTTTATGAAAAAAAATAGAACAATAACAACTTAAAAAGGAAAAAGAAAAGATTGATTATATCATTCTATGCAAAAAAAAAAACAAAAGAACCATTAAAAAATAATTAAATAACTAAAATCTATTAATAAAAAATTAAAAGGAAGAAATAAGATACATTAAATAGAAAAAATAGTAAAAAAACAAACCTTAGAGTTTGTGGTGGCTTATTGTCTAACACAAACAACTTGAAGTATTTGAAAAAAAATAAAGAAAACCTTACTTATTTTCATCAAAACATAAGAATGAGAAAAAAAGAAGACTAACTAATGAAGATATACTTATTAAAAAATCTAGTTGAAGAGTGACTGAGAGACTGATAAAACTAAAAATGAAAAGGGAATTTGTTTCTTTTTTGACTCTACAACCCTAGATTCCTATTAGGGCAAATTTCTTAAACTACCCCTACTGTTTAGCTAATTGACAAACTGTACCCTTATTGTTTAACCATTGTCTTGCACCACCCCTTTTGTTTCTAACAATTGTCATGGCCTTTAAATTCTAATAGAATGAAAAGTCAATTTTACCATTCCATTAAATTCCATCCATCTTTCCTCAAACTCTTCTTCTTCAGGCATAAAGAAGTTTGAGGACTGAAAGAACGACTTAATGTTCATTCTACCCCAAGTGGTCGGTAGTCCTATCTCTATCATTTCCGGCACAATGATCAGTCCCTGTCTCTATTGTTTATGGCATGGCGAGCAAGTGGCCGATAGTCCTCCCGTCCCTCTTCGCAAATCCCCACTCCCTGTTGAATCTCTAATGGTGTTGATGAGTTAATCTCTCTACGCCTGCTGTGCAAAAATGTGAATCTACAACTAGGTTGTTTGGTCTCGAACTGTAAATAGTGGTTTTCTTGAGCATCGGAGTCGATGGAGTTGGCAGCTTGGAGAGAGATTGTAGAATAGGGGTTCCTTAGTCACTTGGAGTTCCTTTGGAGGTCACCAGATTTTCACTCTCCTCTTCGCCTTTTCTATCTTAAAAATTGGGGTGACGACAGTTTTTAAGCCATTGGACCTGAATTCCCAGATTTAGGACCATGTAGCATCAGATTTGAGGATTGACTGAAGGAAAGGGGGAAGACGATAGATACAGATCTGCCACTGTTGCAGTACCGGTGACACAGCAGGGGCAATGAAAGAGAAAACGAGAGAGAGAGAAATAGAGTATTTGACTATAATAGAATTATCTATGTGTATGAATGTTATAACTTCACAAGCTTTCGTTAGTTTAGCTAAAGTTCAACTAGTGGAAGTATTTGACTATAATAGAACTATCTATGTATTTATTCCTATAGGTTATAAGCTAAGCCCAGCCAATGACTATGATAGGATTATCTATTTGTAGATAATGTCACAAAAAGATTGGAATGTTATAAGTTACATTAATTCTTCTTTGACTTTGATTGGGTAAGGTTACACAATATTTCAACCTAAAACTAATTCCCAGTACTCTTTAGCTGGGTTCAAACTAATGAGCCAAGCCCAAAATGAAGTTTGAAAAAACTCATGTTCAACTCCTTGAGTCCAGCCCATATTGCATAGATAAGTTGTGAGCCAAAGTCACTCTGAATGAATTCATACAAGAAAACTGCTGATGGGTCTTCAACACAAACAAATTGCACATATTTTACACTAAACAACTACAATTCAATAAACACATTCCCCAGAATCAACCAGTCCATTGATTAAGGATGGCAAATCAAGCTGATGACAAAATGATTCTGAAGAAGAAGAAGATGAAGATGATGATGATATCCTAGCCCTTGTATGCGATGAAAGCTTCATTTCAAGGCCAAATCCAAGTGGATACAGCGGATTGTAATGTGGGTCGCCAAAATTCATTGGTAGTTGATCCACTCGCCGGAACCAAGTCCTCGGAAGCCTACCTTGGAAATCATAGTCCCCAAATATAACATCTGCAATTCCCTTCCCTGCTTCACTCCCTGGGAGCCATGCAGCCACCAATGCCTCTATCACATCCATATAAGGCTCTATAACTACCGGCCTACCTGATACAATGATCACTAGGCATTTTATCTCTGCACAGACAGTTTTGATCGTTTCACCACCATCAAGTGCTAGCGTGAGATCCTTGCTGTCACCAGAAGTCTCAGCATATGGAAGTTCTCCAACGACGACGATGGCATATGAAAAATCCTTGTTCTTGTCCAAGAATTGTTTGTCTGGTTTCTCCTCAAATATTACTTGAGTTTGCTTGCTAACTGCATTCTTAATCCCTTCTAGGATTGTAGTTCCTGTACAAGATTGTTTATGTTATTTCCTTTGTATAATAGTTGGGCTATGCTTATGTTTGTTTGATGGAGAGAAACAGAAAGCTGAGGGAAAGTGCTTGTGATCAATTTCCACAAAATTCTTTAGGCTGCATTTGGATTGAATGTAAATCAAGAATGGATGTAAAATTTACACCAGTTCGCTTTTGTATGCATTTGGTAAAAGGGTGTAACATAAAACTATACTCCAGTTCAGTTTTGTATGCGTTTGGATGGAGTGTAGTTTTATGTCGATAATAGATGTAAAACCTCACCACCTTTAAAGTTTTACATTGATAATCGATGTAAAAACTACATTGATTTTATCGATGTAAAACATTACATTTTTTTACATCGATTTTCAAAATGTAACGGTCATTATATATACGGTTCAGTGTAAAACGTCATCAGTATATTTTTACACTGATGACATTTTACACCTCTTCCAAACGCAGACTTAGGCTCTGTTTGTTTGTTGCACTGGTGTAACTGTGGGGGAGTGCAGATGGACTGACTGTAAATTCTAGTTTACTTCTATCTCAAATTGTCTTGATTGTTTGGGGAAAGTAAAATAGGAATTAAAATTATGTGATCCGACGTTATCAAAAAGAAAGGGGGCATGAAGAAAGGTTATTTTGTTGGGAGGAATAAGGCAGGAATTAAAATGATATGATCCCTCATATTATGAGGGAGAGGGATAGAGAAACAAAATTGGAGAAAGGTGGTGAAAATTCTGCATTAGATTTTTAGATGCAAAATTGCACTGCGAACAAGTGGAAATGAGACATTATTTACAAATTTTGCATTAGGTAGAAATGAAAACAAAAAATTGATGCAAAACTGAAGCAGGCGCAAAATTTGTATCTGGTTCAGATTTGTACCGCAAACAAGTAGAGACTGGAGAACTTTGGGTTTCTCTGTGTGTCTGGTTTGGTAGAGACAATAGATGAACAAAATTTTGAGGGAAGGAATTTTCATATAGTTCGTACCTATGGTGATATTTCCTGAAGACCCTTGCCACGTTACAGTCCATCCCCCACATTGGTATCCAATATTATGAGCATGAGTTCCAGCTACAAGAATTCTGGGGGCTTTCTTGTCCAAGGGCAGCATCATTTGCTTATCCTTTCCATTCTTCAATAAAACAAGGCTTTTCCTAACAGCTTCTCTCGCCAATTCTCTATGCCTCTGGGGAGAGGAAACAAATTAAACGCAAATAAATTGAGACAAATGTTATCTCAATGGGTCAGACTCAGGCCACACAGAAAACCAGAAATCTCAATGGGTCACAGTTTTACTGGTCTGAGTCTGCCAACAGTGATGGTGATAAAACTATCATATATACACAAACAATACTGTAAGTCTGTTAGAAGTTGGTAATGTGGGTAGACCTTTTGTCCGACCAAGCCAAGGAGGGATCTATTTGCCATGGGCTGCTCGAATAGTCCAGCTATGAATTTGACTCTGAGTATCCTCCGGACAGCATCATCGATCCTTGACACTGGAACCTGGCCAGTTGTGACAAGGTCTGTAAGATCTGTTATGAACCTCTGGTATTTGAAAGGGATCATGACCATGTCAATCCCCGCATTGATCGCTGCCTTCAGACTGTCCTTGTAGTTTGAACCTGGTGGACTGGTAACCCTATCAACCCCTTCCCAGTCTGATATCACGAAACCCTGTTCTCCAATGCCAACAAACAATGCATCAGACACTGAATCATTACACTTATAGTATTTATTGAATATATACAAAAGTTATTGTATTAAGACAAAGGCAAATTTGCCCTGAATATTAATAAAAAGTAATAATTTTATAAAATAACTAAAATAAGATAACTTTTGGTGAAAAATATCAAAAAAGGGCATTCGCACTGTTCATCGTCCTCCTCTTCCTATGCCTCCGCGTTGGCTTGATTTCCAGCAAATCCAGCACCTAGGCCATCGTCTCCGGACGCCAGACCGGTGTTGCCTGAATTTCTACCACTGCCTCCTCTGTTGTCGTCTCCAGACAACAGACCGGTGTTGCCTGCATTTCTACCACTGCCTCCGCTGTTACTATCACCCAGCTGCTGCTGATTATCGCCGGTACCGATCATCTTGCTTTCCTATCGATCAGACGGCGTAGATAGAAAAAGGAACAAACGAACCTACTCTTTGGTCTTGTCCCGAATCGGCAATGTTTGAGACGGTATCCTCATGACTGGCATGAATACAGGCAGAGTAAGAGGAAGACGATGAAGCCAACGCGGGCTGCGTTTACCGTTGAAATGGCTGGCATGAATACAGGCAGTGAAAGAGGAAGACGATGAACAGTGCGAATGCCCTTTTTTATATTTTCCCCAAAAATTATCTTATTTTAGTTATTTTATAAAATTATTACTTTTTATTGATATTGACGACAAAAAGTTGGCCTTATGTGCTGCAAACCCTTCTTTTTATTTCCAAATTTCAACTACTTTATTCTTTGTTTCAAGCGGACAACTCCTCTACATGCAGTTAGGTTAGACACGTGGCAAATTAGGTTATATACGTTTAAGGATCCTGTGTGTCCAACAAAAGAGAAGGTAAAGCAAATTACCTGGAAAGACATCTCCTCTTTGAGCACACGAGTGAGGAGAAAAGGATTGGTATGCATCTTGGCCCCATTCCAGCTGGAATAAGAGGCCATCACCGTTGATACTCCCATGGCCAGAGCGTCTCTGTATGGCTGTATATGTACCTTAACCAACTCTGTGTAATTCGCCACCGTGTTGTACTCGTTCACCCCTCCTTTCGTCCCACCGTCCCCTGTGTAGTGCTTTGCACACGCCATCACTCTCCTTCCCCTGCCATTTTTTTTTTTATTTTCAATTCATCCTTCACCGTCGATACAGACATACTAAAAGTCTGGGCCCCACCTCTGTCATCTGGAACTGGATGTTAATTCAATGGGATTTTAGGTGGGACCAGTGAAGGGATGGGCCCAACCCAATAGAGTAAGAAAGGAAAGGACCGATAGTTGTGACATGTGAGATAAATAATTAAATATTAGAAATCAAAAACAAATCCCAATAAGCTTACCCTCCGGCAACAAAAGGGTAACCCTCGGTGTGATTAAGAGGTGGGGCACCCTGCAGTCCTAGTATGATCTTGGCCATTCGTCTCACGATGTTTGTGTCTTCACTGTAACTCTCGTAGCACCGGCCCCACCTTGGGTCCCTACAAACCTGTAAAATGAGCGATAAACCCTCATCCATAAAGCAATATGACCAAATTACCCTTAAAGCTTCTCTGTCTGTCTCGTGTGTGTTAAGTAAACAACGGAAATGGAAAATTAGAAATGGCTTTACGGCAATGCAGGGAGCGAAGGTGTACGGAATCCCTGTTGCTCGGATCTCCAAAGCAGTCGCCTTTCCGATTCTCGTAATCAAATTCACATCCCTATAGCCAAAAAGAAAATCGGCAGAATTAAATTTATTACTAATTTCTGTTTCTTTGGGAAAATTTCAAGATACGAAAATAAACTCTGAATCGCTGAAATACCCGGTGGCGCCGAGGCCGATGTTGTGGGGGAAGACAGTGGCACCGAAGACATTGTTGTGGCCGTGGACGGCGTCGATGCCGTAAAATATGGGAATTCCGAGCCTCGTGGACAGTGCAGCTTTTTGGAATCCATCGATCATGTCTGCCCACATGGCCGGAGTGGAATCGGGCGCCGGAGCGCTATCACCGCCGTTGAGCACACTCCCTGAGACAAACCCATTTCTTAATACTTCTTTGAAGCTTATTAAAATCCATAAAGTAGCCGGAATTACAGGGCAAGAACAGGTGTAGGAAAAAACCGATGGCAAGATCCCGGAGGACATCTGGGGAGGCGAGAGAGCGGTCGATTTGGACCATTTGGCCGATCTTTTCTGACAAAGACATGCGAGAGAGGAGGTCCGACACCCGGGATTCGACCGGAGCATTGGGATCCTTGTAAAGAGGCGGTGCTGTTGTGGTTGTTGCTGCAATTGAAACTGAGGGAAAGAAGAAAAACAAGAAAAACAGGGATAAACAATGGCCATCGCCATGGCCAGGAAGAAAGGCTCTCTTGCTGGTCTTGATCTTCTTCATGCTTGCCGGTAGCTGGACCTTAGCTTTTGTGTCACGAAAAGACTTTCGAAATGCCCGTGAAGTTTTTTTATTTTCGACAAGTTTGTATTTTTGACTTTCGAATCAGAATCACTTTCAAGTTTCGACTCGGTTCTTCTTTTATATTACTTCCGTTAAACGTTGTTATCATTGTAAAACTTTATATATGTTATGAATTTATTATACATGCCTTGGCTTCGCTGCAGGACATAGAAAAACTAAAATCTAAACAGTATATATTAATCCTAGCTTGCAAGTTGCAACCTATAGGCTTATAGGATAAAATAAATAAATATTAAACACATTCATAACACGTGATATTACATTGGTGGCAAATGAAACAAACCTACGAGGCTATGACCTTAATATCTGAAAAGCATGATACCGGAGAAATTTACAACTAATCAAAATCAGTAAGGTGACCAATCAGGGTGGTATTCATCGTGTAGTTGTCCAAGCCTCCCTGTATTTTATGATTAGTGTAGAGTATTATTATTGGTCCTGCAGCTTAACAGTTAAAACTTTCACTTTATCCTATTTGTCTGTTCGGTATCATAGATTTTCCTTTATTATTATTGGTCCTACAGCTGGACAGTTAAAACTTTCACTTTATCCTATCTGTCTGTTCGGTATCATAGATTTTTTTTTTTTATTTATTCAGGTGCCCTTCCGAATACCCATGGTATAAATACGAGCATGGTCTGGTTTGATTTGACCGAACCGTAACCAACCCTATCAGCATCTTTTATCTTCACCATCAAATTGGAATCTTGGATATTTAATGTATCTTCACCATGCTATAATTACTACTGCCTAACAAAAATATGAATCTGGAAAAACAGATTCAGATTTCAAAAGCATGATTTAGATGTACAAACTTTTATTATGCATCTATGCTAATGAATGGGTGATAGTAATATTCTTTTGGGGGAAATTTTTGTGGCCTATACAGGCTGTGTTTGATTCACTGTTATGAGCATTATTCTTTTAATTCTTGCTTATTTTAGGTAAGAATGAATAATATTAAAGTGTTTGGTTACAAAATTTTTGCCATGGTTCACATTCTTTTTAGAATATAAAACCAGTCTATAGCACAAAAATTGAAGTAACTTGCAGCATGAAAAATAATCATGTCCCATCTTGTTCATTTTCATTCTTTAAGGAAAATATGCCTAGAACACTTGCTACCATAGATGTTTATTAGTACACTATAGTGGAAGTACTTTTACACAAAAACACTTTTTATGAAAATATTTTTATCAAAGCACTTTTACAAAAGTATTGGTGACATAGATAACATTCAAATTACCTAACTCTCATTAAAACCATATTGGTGACATATAAATAACAATAAGATACACTCAATATAGGGCATGTCACATCAATACTTTGAACCTTGGGGGCGACCATGGGCCAGGTTTAACACCTATAGTAAAAAAAAAAAATGAGAGATATCTCAAGCCTACATTGAGCATTGGACCCCGTACCCTTAAGTATGTTATATTTAATATGTATAGTATTTTATATTTTAATGCATATAATATATGTATAAAATATAGGGGCATTTATTAAGACACCCCTTTTACTTAAACGTATTAATTAAAACACTCTTGTAATTTATACGGTTTTACTTAATGATATGTCCATAAGGAACCGTGTGCAATTTCAACAACAAATGATAATGTGACTCATAAAATTGAAAAGGGAATGGCCTTATGGAACCTTTGTCACTAGGTGGTAATGGATCGAGCTCAACCAATCATCTAACTATTGGAGTGATTGGTTAATAATTCCATTTAAAGTTTGTTCGTGCCGTTGCAGTTGAACTTTTAAAGCCAATTAACCTTTATATGTTCTCATCTTGTTGGACACCTTAGACCTCCAGCACCAAATAGGATTAGATCCCAAGCATGCTTCATTACAAGGATCATATGATGATATTTGGCTCATAAAATCAACACAACTATTTATGCAACTAGCCCCACCATTAACGATTATAGTGCTGATAGACCTAGCAATCGGATTGGGCGAGTTGAATTTGGGTTGGGTTGAGGCATTTTTAGGTTAATTTTGGATCGAGTCAATGATGGCTAAACCCTGACCTTAACCATTCAGGTTAGGGTTGACCCACGGGTCAACTTGATTCAACCCTATCATTATTGAAAAATAAAAAATTGAAACATGAAAAATGGTAATTAAACTATTAAATGAATTAACCTAAAGTTCAAATTTTGAAAAGAAAATTTGCATTCAATTGGTCTTCAAGAAAGGAAAGTTTAACTCTTCACCCAACAAATTTACCAACAACTATTAAAAAACTTGAAAATTCAAAAAGTGAACAATAAAAGTAAAAATTAAAGACCAAAGAGAAAAATAACATAAATAGATGATTAGATGTCCAAAGGACACATGCAAATGTTCTAAACTTCCAATACGAAATTAAAAAAAAAAAATCAAAATGACTTTAACTTCAAACACATTCCATCATTTTTAAATTTATCCATCTTTAAAGCTTAATGGATTTAAAGTTTTTGATGATGATCCTTCAAGAATGCTTGACTTAGAAAAGTGCACATCAAATCCCATCATTTCCTTGGCCTCATTATCATCTACTAAATTAAATCAAAGAATATAAAATATCAAAACATTAATAATGTGAGCAATATATTTGATAATTAAACAAAAAAGTATACTATCATCTAAATAAATTATACTATTTGAAACAAATCAAAATAAATTTTTACCTGACCATGATATCCAAATAACAGTGATCAAAGCTTGTACATTTCTTGGCAAAAAAGAAGCTCTCTATTTGGTTACAACTCTACCTCCATATTAAAAGCTACTCTGTATCAATAGTAGTTATAGGATTACTTAATAAATCCAATGCCATGAGAGATATTAGGAAATTGAAACCGGTTATCTTTTAATTAAGAAAGAGCATTCAATTGTTGACTGCGATCAAGTCTATGCTCATTCAAATATACATCCAACTCCGATTTATTTGAATTTAATTGCTCTTTCTAAAACTAATTAAATTCATACATTACAAATAAATAATCATAAATCTTAAAAAATATAAATGCAATGAAATGTAAAGGAATTAAATTACATTATACAGACTAAACTTACAAGAATGTCATCAACTTCATCTAAATCAATTATAACATCAATATTCCTTTCTGAACGTGTAATTGATGATGGTGCAATAGAGTTCTTGCATGCATATCCATTTAAGAACATGAACAACTGATTATAAAGATAATTTGATTTTGTATTTGCAGTTTCATCATTTAATTTTTTATTACAAAATTTTGTAAATCCTATTTTGTAACAAGGATCAAATATTATAGCAAATGCAAACACCACACAATAAAAAATCCCAATACTTGTCAAATTTAATCTTCATTCTGTGTGTCATTACTTATAAAGAGATTTTGATTTTCCATTTCTTCAAATAAATACAACTCAATCTTCCAAACACTTATAAAGAATATATTCATTGTGGAGTATTCAATTTTGGAGGGAAAAATTTTTTGTAATCTCATAAAAATGTTTTAAAAGATTACTACTAGAAAGGCTCGTGCTTAGAAGATAAAGAGAAAACTAAACAAGAATCTTGGACACTACCTTCTTCATATAGGTGAAAGTTCGGTGCTCAGCACAAAACAACAAAGAATATTGGAATAAGCTAAGAAAACAAATTTATAAGAGTATTCCATTTAAACCATATAGAAAAAACATAATAAAAATGATTGCTATGTCTTTGTCATAAATAATATAGAAAGTTAAAGAAAGGTACAGGTACAAAGTTAAAGTGGTAAAAGGTAAAATAAGCATAAAATTACACCACAACCAACACAAAATGCTCTTGGGCCTTTCCCTCTGCCCACAACTTCTTATTATACATCATTTCTACCAGTATTTGCAGTTCGCCCAACGAGAGGTACAGGTATAACATTTGATGACTCAGTTCAACCAATGATATGATACACATTTCTACCAGTATTTGCATCTTAGGGACCTAATCTCTTCCTAATATCCAAGCAAGCAACACATTAGGTGAACCAAAGTCAACATTATTGACCAGCTTATCTGGTCAATAAGTTGCCTTTGCAGTTTGTACTATAACTATTTTGTTTAAGAGTCTTCAGTCAATAAGATCCACTAATAAGATGGTCAATATGTATTGTTTCTTTTTATAGGTTAATTGGCCTAGATAATTTGGGATACTATGTGCATAGCAGAACCATCAAAGTTCCTTAATGTTGTCACCCATTTGTGATGGTCGTTTGTCTAACCAGATGGATCCGTCCCGAATATATATCAACATTAAGGAACTCTGTATATGGTAGGCCACACATTAGGGTTCCTATACTTTGCAACAATAACATAAATCTAGGCAGTTTTAAATGCAAAAAAAGTTACAAGTATATACCAAAAGACATATTTCAAACTGAGGCCAAGATATTACATGATAATATGGGACATATGAAAATAATCTCATAGTGCTTATTCACTGAATAAGAAAGGAAATAGCAAATAACATATTTAAAGTTGGAGAAGAATTAGGAGAAGAAGATCAAGGAATTGATTGCTGAAGAAGGAAGAATGGATCACAGATTCTTTGAAAGAATGAATCCAGGGGCAGCACCTCCCCTCCCAATCATACCCACCTATTCTGTCAGTAGTGATTCAGTTAAACCCAGAATAACACAATGATGATTGTGGTCACATTTGGGTGGGGAGAGAGGAATTGTATAGTTCCTTTTCTTTCTTAATATAATATAAATTTACAAAATAATATAAAATTTTATATTAACCCTTTTGAACCATTCTGGACTGGTCCAATTTAATGTCTGAACCATTCAAATAATTCTAATTAGCTTTAATTTAGATTGGATCCAACCCAAACCTAGTCCATGGTCCATTGACACCTGTGCTATGGATGGTACATTGGTTCAATCCAACCCAGTCCAATATAATGCTACTGATCAAACAAAAAAAAAAAAAGAAAGAAAGATAAAAAATAAGAACCACCTATTTCATGAATGTGTTTCCTAGTTGCAACCTAAATGAAAATTAGTTTTCATATTAAATA